ATATATTATATAACAAATACGTAATATTATGTTCCTGTAAGTTGCGGTGGAGGGAGGGGTTGTCATTGACAGAATACGTTTGTTTGATTCTAAAATAATTGTTTTCTGAAGTGTACTAACAGTGTAGAACTAGACCATATCTCTCCATATCACATGCACATGACTTTTTCCAAAGATATCTAACAAAGTGACTGAGGCAATATAGCCAGTCTGGCACTACGGTTGTTGCTTCTTACAAAAGTGTGATTAGAAAGATATATGCAGTGAGATATTTGTCCAGAGGTCTGAGCATCCTGTTGCATGCAGGTCTGAGTCACAGAAGTATTTTTAAAAAGAAGAGTCAGTGGATATTCAATGGGATCTTAAAATATTTTGTTGTTACTTAATAGTTACGTGTACTTAGTTCATCATCTTCCAATCTGTTTTGGTCTTGGTATATGTACTGTTGCCTTTTCCTTTGGAATGTTTTCTCAGAGCAGAGAGGATTTCCCTCCTATGTGTTTGAGCAAGCACAGCACAAAGGGGTCTTTATTCAGTTAGAGGTATTAAGTGTTACCAGATTAATAAATTTGGTATGAATTTTATTTATTATTGAAGTAATAATACAGAATGCCTGTCTTTGAAATCCTATTTATTTAAATTTCATGTATATTGAAATATCTGTATATATCTGAATATCATGTGTATATATATCTGAAAATATATATATATATATGTATGATATCTATCTATCTATCTCTGAATATCATGTATATCTGTTCTTGCCAGAACCAGGACATTATGAATTACTAAATGATGTGAACTTCTATTTCAGTGTGCATTGCTAGTGGAATCCTTGAAGCAACGTTCGGTAAATCACACTGTTAATCCATTTGTACCAGAAGAAGACTCAAATGTGCTTATGAAGAAAGAGAAAAGAGGACCACAGAAGTTGCCATCTCCTAAACCCACAGCTCTGAGTCTGGCTAGAATGGTTTGAAATGGTCCCATTTTTAAGATGCTGTGTGTTTTAATTAGAGATCCTACCCAACTATCAGATGCTGCTCTTTGTGAGAGAAGTGCTCAGGCTGAAAATTTGAAGGAAGTAAAAGAGCACTGTGATAGTACTCTGAGTTTACGTTTTAATTTGCATTCAAAATGCTACATAAACAAAAATGTACATCTTACTAATTCCTGCTAAGTAATTAATTATAATAGAACCACATTGTAGTGTCTGAAATTATCTAAATAATCCCTCCTCTAACCTCAAAAATTTAGTATTTAGTGAAAGCAAAGGCAAAGCAGAAAAGTGCTTTACCAAGTTACATCTATTTTACAAGGCCTTCTAGCAAGTACTGGATTTTATGGTATCCTGCTCATTTACAGATGAGACAGCTGCAGCTGAGTAGCATGTTTGTGGCCACACAGAGAGCCAGCATAAAACAAGAAACAGGATTCGTAATTTATTTCCTGCCCACTGTGCTTATTTCCATGGAGTTACCCTACTGAGTCCTTTGGGATTTTGTTAATGTTTTCCTTGTTAATTTTGACTGCGTCTGTTTTGAGTGGGTGTGAAAATCACTAATACACATAAAGGGCCAGTGCTTACCACTTCGGTATGTCAATGACTAGATACAGAACTGCCTGTTGCAAAGGATGTCCTTTACTTTTGACCTGGAATTTTCAGGTCTCATCTTTGAAAAAGGAATGGCACTTTTAAGTGTAGGTGTGTTCATGTTGCAAAGTTCTTTGTAGGTAAGCTCAAACAGGTCTTCTATGCTATTTGGTCCAAACCAGTATATTTTCAACACCTCTTCACAAATGCAGGAAAAAAAGTAATCACTTAGAGATATGACTACATAGCATAGTTTTTCAGGGCTTAAACTTGTAGAAAACCAATACAGGTTTGTCTGTAGATGTTTGGTGATATTTCGTAGTAGAGCTGAATGTTAAATTTGATGTCAGTTACTTGAAGAGTCTGTGTCACAGCAAACGTCTGATCCTACACTAGGGTTAAACAAGTGCTCATGTTTAGCAGACTGCTCAGCCCCCAGAGAGTTGAGCCATACCTAGAAATTACGGTTGTCAGCACTAGGTTTCCAATATTCAATAAAACTCTGAGGAAAATACTATATACTATATTCTATAAAACAGTGCTGTTACCATACTAGACTGCTCCTTCACGTAAATCATCCAAACTGCTGGTAGATGTTAGTTTTATGGCAGCAGACAAAATTGGTAAGATAATTAAACAGAGCAATTAGAATTACTTAACCTAGCAAAAAATTGCAAATTAACAAGTTGTTGTGGCAATCTGCTGACTTGTCAGAAGAGCCAGAGTAAAACAGGAATTAGAGAATAGTAAAGGATAGTTTGCTTTGAATAATGCAGTTATGATCCAACTGGAATACTTTTTAATTTTATGCACTTACAGTATACTAAAGAGAACCATGGTGCAGAGAGAAACACTTCCATAGGAGTACTGGCATGGCGTCCTACTAGTGCCAAAGCAGAAATTCCACCAGGTCTGTATGGATTAAGGGCTTTTTGTCTTCAGTTTCTTTGGGTTTTGCTTAAAAGACAGTATTAAATTAGAGATTTAATTTTTTAGAAACACTTGCAATTTTAATCTTTAATCAGACTGATAGGAAACATTGCGGTCATTTGGAAATTACTTTGGAATGAGCTTTAGCTGTAATGTATCTAGCTTTCTTTTAGCTTGTGAGAGGAAGGAACACTGTACAGGTGTATAACTATTTCCAGGTCATACGATTGAATACCCCTCCTATATCAGGGAATGTCAAATGTGTGTGGTGGAAAGTAGAGCCCCGCTTTGTCCCATGCCTGAAGTCATAGTTAGAACCTCGCTTCTCTTGGTTTTCAATTCATACTTCATTTTTTTTCAAAGGTTCAACAATTCAGAGATTTATTATATTACTAGTTCAATATATATATTTCTGCTAATACAATTAGATCCCATTGTATTTAATATGCTGTTCCACTTGATTTATTTATGATGCAGTAATGAAGGAAAATTACAACACAAATGTCAGGTTATCTGGTGCTGACTCTTGCAGCTCCTCCTGGTATATGAAACAGCTCTTAAATTGATTCCAGTCACTGTTGGTCCCTTAAAGTCCAATTCCTTACTCCTCCATTTTTGTAATTTTCTTGTTTTTTTTTCTTTGTATCTCTGCTAACATCTACAGGGGTTTTTTTTCCCATTAAATTTGAGTCTTGACCTCTATTGATTTATTGAAATTAGATTGTTGATATGTAGCAGTGTTTACAAATCTGGATTCATATTTGCATATGAGGTGCTTTGTATAATGTTAGTTGGCTTTTCTAATAGATATTATGCTAATTCTAAACCCCTAATCTTCTCAAATTATGCCCTGTGACATTCTTCTTGATGGTAATTTATAAATTTGTAAAGGTTTTGGTTCCATTTCCATGAAAGTAGCATAAGTAGTTCTATAATATGGATTTTTCTTAACTGGCATCTAAGAAAATTAAGTATTTATAATTGTGGTAATAGGAAATTATTAACTGAAGAACAGGGTTGCGTGTAAGAGTTTTATGTAGCTGAAGTCAGTCAACATCTATCTTTATTTTTAGTTGTAGCACAAACACTAAAAGAATGGCCTCAGACTGAGAATAAAAGGAATCATAAACCAAGGAAGCAGCCAGAGTTTTCTGTGTCAGTGTTTTATACTGATAAAGGAAGAAACGTGGGTATGTGTTATTAGGGTGAAGCCTTTTTATTACCAGCATTATTATTATAAAACTGTTAGAATGTTAAGTCACTGATAATCAGTGTGCTTTAAATAGTGAGTGGAAGTGAGTTTCACTTATCAAATAGTGGTGGGGTTTTTTGGTTTGGGGTTTTTTTTTGGAGGGTGGGGATGGCTTTTTTACTCTTTTTTTGTGGTTTTGTGGTGGTTCTTAGTCCTTTGGGATCTTTTAGTCAAAGATGCTCTAAGGAAAAATGCTGTCATCATGGTTTAGATGATTACAGATGATTTAGTTTGGAATTTTTTGAAGGTGACAATTTTTAAAAATAGATTATTTTTTTAAAGTACTTTTAGAAACTTGGCATTTTTTGTCAAATGTGGAATTGTGTATGAAATGCTGTCTGTGGGGGTTTTGTTGTTTTGTGGATTTTTTTAATCAACAGTCATATGTGATTCAAAAGGGCTATGATGTAAACCTAGGACTCCCAATATTACTTTGTTCATTTTCTTAACTAGGTACAGTATACCGAAAGTACCCAAAGATAATGTCCATAAGAAAGTCTGTTCCCTCTGTTACATTGCCAAAAAAAGAGGAAATCTGTTCAAGCAAAGAGGTATTTTGCTCCTTACTAATAAATTGACATTTTAGAATTATCCATGTGAATTAATGTGAATGTGTTAATTGTGATTCTGTATGAAGTATTATTACTTAAACTATTCTACTGTTTACTAACAACCAATCACTCCATTTGTTTGTCTTACAAGTGGCTGACCAAGTACAGTATTAAAAAGCTTAAACTGGAATTGCCCAGACTGATGTTTGGCCCAGGTTGTACTCATCAAAAGAAAACTGTGGAGTCTCTGCACAAGAAAGTATCGGCAAAATACTGTACTATCTTCCCTAGCGTAGAAATCAATGTAAGCTTTTGCAGATGTCACATACCTACATCATTGAAAGGCTTTGTATTTGTTTAAGACAATGCATGTTGATCTATGTTTCTCTGATGTTCCCTCCACTATTCCTGATCTTCTTTCTGAATCACCCTTCTATTAGAAAGCTAGAGGTCTTCTATTTTCCACAAAAAATACTTAGTATGTTTGAAGTGCAAACTACATGGGCTCTTTAGAACGTATAGCATCTCTGCTGCTCATACAGTGTGAAAAATAATTTTTAAATTTTAAGCTTTTAAAAATCATGTGTGAGTCAAAACTAGGAAAATGTTGGATCTTGATTGTTTTGGTCTGTGTAATGACTGGAGAGAAGCAGAGAAGCATAGAAAGTTAAGTCCAGGATTTCATTGCTCTGTTATATCTGTAAAACTGTCAGAAATAATGCAACAGATGCAACTTTGCAGTCAAATTATATAATTCTGTTGCTCAGACAACTGGCTGAAATGAGAACTAGACTTTTCTAATTTGGGGAAACCAGTTATTTAGTAGCAACAGAGTCACAAAAATTTTCTTACACTGTTTCACAGATGTAAAGACAGAAAACCTAATCTCCCTGATTTCTAATGCAGACTTTGCATATATAGCAGCTGAGCTCAAATCTCTTGAAGTAAGATGCTCTTGTACAAATTGAATTTTTCCAGGGGGTTGTGAAACATCTGCAATTTCAATCTAAAGAACTGGAAATGTACACTGAACAACTGGAGAAAGTGTTGCAGCGCTATATAAAAAGAATACAGTGGCTTCTGTCAGGTATTGGTGTGCATCTGTTTTTCTGTAAAGCACAACTTAAACATACGTAAAATCTTGTCTACTCTTTCTAATAGAATAAATCTGAACATAAATCTGGACCTAAAATATGAATAAAGGTCATCCATTTTGCATTTCATTGACATTTTAATAAGTATTTTTATGACAATAAAATAAGAATACAAGAGAATTCAGCATCTGGGTAGCTGATAAACATCTATCTCGCTGTGAAATAATTAGGGCTGTGATGTAAGTTTTTCCTTTTTGTATGTTGTGTTAATGAATACAAGGCTCCTGGTGTCAGCTATCAACAGAATAAATACAGTAACATATACAAGCAAAATTAGCTTTTGTATTTCTTTTGCTAAGAATGTGTCACATTTAGAAGTTCAGCATCACTGCTGGTGAAAAGTATTTTGATCCCTCTTGCTCATAAAGATCTTTGGGAAACAGTTTAAATTTTTGCTGGATTGTAAAATAGGAGCTACAAATTGTTTAATGCAAGTTGCTACGATTGGCTAGTAATTAATGCTTGATAGTGCTAGATTTGTAATGGTAGAAGACTTTTCTATTATTAAACTTTGAATTACCTAGTTTCCACAAAGATTAGAATTTATTATGTAGAAATGTGCCCAGAATAACCCCTAAAGACTGAAGATTTTACAGTACACTTGCTAAAATAATATGATCAATAAAATAAGCATATGTAATGACGTTAGTTTTAATGTTCTGGCCCAGGAAGCCGAAGGTTGTTTGGTATCATTTTAGAAGCAAATGTCTGTGTTTTGATTGATACATCTGGTTCCATGGACCCATATTTGCCACATGTCACGAAAGAACTTACCTCCCTTATCTGGGAACAGCTGAGAAAAAATGAAGTCAGGTATGATAGACTACTGATAAAGACTGAAATCTGCACTGCTTATTATTATGTAATAAGATTACTTAATAATTACAAATAATACGATACTGAAACACAAGTGATTATGTTATGTTAGTGTGAAACGAACTGCTTTTTCTGTTCTTTTTAGCCAACTTTTAATTCTGAGCTCTCTAAGATTTGAGCCTCATTTGCCATAGGCTAATGCTGTTTATCCTTTTGGGCTCAGCCTTCCCATAGACAGTTCGTGCAGAGTGAGATATGCTTTCTCAGTCTTCCGAAGCTGAAGACCTTAATCCAATACGAGGCTCTTGGTTTTGGTTTGTTTGGGGGTTTTTATTGTGTGTGTTTGTGTGTGTGTGTTTGTTTTGTTTATGTGTTATAAGGTATTTCTTTATTTTCCTCTTTCTCCTCAGGTTTAACCTGCTGAGATTTGCAGAAAATACAGAGAGTTGGAAGGAGCACCTTGTAGAGGCAACTAATGAAAATTGTCATGATGCTGTGCAGTGGGTGTCCAAATTCCACGCTCACGGTAATACGTGCATCCTTACAGCTTTACAGGTCAGTAAATAGTGTACCACGTTTTGGAGAAGACATCATGTCTTGTGATAAAACACTTCCATCTGACTGACAATATTTTAGGAAGATTATTTGGTCAAAGTGTACACCACTTTTACGTGCAAAACACTGAACAGATCTGGAACCAAGCCACTGTTCCTGTCCCCAGGGCTCATACTGAGTTTAAGAAAAATGTGAAATATCAATAGTTGCATTAATACTTGTGTTCAAAGCATAGTGGAGAGAGAAAATAGCCAGTTGATCAAAATTATGCTTACGTACAACTGTGGCTGTGATCATATTTGCTCTGAGCCAAACAGGGATTTTGAAGCATCGGTGTTTGTTGGAATCACATGGGCATTGAGTACAATTCTTAAACTTTAGTAACATGTAATTTAGTAACAAGAAATTTTTCTCCTATAAAAATTCTCAGTGTAGAAATTAACTAGTAATAATAATTTAAAACAGAGACTGAAAGAACCTGCAGTTTCATGAGATTTTAAAATTTGAATCAAAAAGGAAATGTTTCCTTGAATGAATGATTCTTCTTCCAGACACCCTTACAGAATCTCCTTCTTATAAAATTTATGGAATTCATCATGAAAATGTCCACTGGGTCAATTACTGTAGCAAGTTTTCACAGCATAAAAAGGCTAAATCCCAGTGAGCCTGATTTTCAGACATTAAGCATCTTTAACTCTCACTAAATGTGATGTAAAAATCTTCTGTCAGCAGTTCTCCAAAACCAGTTAAGTTGCTTATTTCAATGAGTCAGTTTTTTGTGATGCCCTGCTTATGAATATCTTGCCTTATGCTACAAATTATCTTGTTACATTATCTTGTTTATTTTTCAAATTTATATACTTGATCTCTTTCATACTTAGTGAAAAGGAAAAGACAATGATGTAAATATAAAGCTATCTTAAGAAAGACAATACTATTCCAGTGATTTAAGTATAACTTTTCATACAAATGTACTAATTGTTTAAGCTTATTTTCTGCTTTTCAGAAGGCTCTCAGTTTCCAAGGTATAGAGGCACTGTATGTATTGACTGATGGAAAACCAGACACCAGTTGCTCTCTGATTTTGAAAGAAATTGAAAGATTGAGAAAGAAACAAGATATTAAAATCCACACCATTTCTTTTAGCTGCGCAGACAGGTATATGATACTTTGCAAGAACAACAAAACAATCTTTAAAATTAGTTTGCTTGTCAAAAGGCTGTGTTGTTCAAAATGGGCCATGTGCAACATTGCCTACCAGTCCTCCTGTCCCAGTGACTGTCATGAGGTTAACAACCTTGGGATAATGCTTTTAGGTTATCCAGCTGCTGTGAGAAATTTTTGACCCTCTCATAGCACAAACTGACAAGTAGTGTTGTTTCTGTTAGGTCCTAGGTTGCATCCCGCTGAACTGTGAGGTGGATGCTGCCACAGCAGTGGAATAGAGATTTAAAAAGTAAAAGAAAAAAAGCTTCAGGAAGGTGAACATGCAACAGAAAATATGGTCATAGGAAAGGCAAAAGATTTCAAAGCAGGAGTGAGGATGGATGAGAAGACACTAGCAGGATTTCAAGGAAGTCTGAGAGATGATAGTCATGAGAAAATAGGGCACACGTGATGCTTGGACCATTCTGAGAGCTTCAGCATGTTTTCAAGGCTCTGGATGGTTCAGAAATCATCTGTGAGCATGTCTGTCAGGTGTACGCTGGAGAATGTTGTGGTGCTACAGCCACAATAATATCTGATAAAATGTTGAGAGCATATGTGAACTGGAGTTTCTAGATTAGTCTCCTGCTAAAGGAGTATAGTTTGCACACAACAGAGCTACCGTGAGAGCCAAACCAACGTGGTAGACAAAAATAATTGGGGGATTTGCTTCAAAACTCCCGTTACTGCTCCAAATGTAATTGCCCGAATCCTATACTGCTGTGGTAGCTAATAGACCTTAAAGATAAATCCCTCAAAAGATGACAGTTAGTTTGGATGTCATTTTTCAAGCTATAAAGAGAAGAAGTTGTAGACTTCCTGATACATAGTCTGTGGTCTTTGTGATTATGGAAGTGAGGTTTGACAGGAAGAGTGTGTTACTTTGCAAGCTTTTATATATCTTGCTTTCTGGTAAAAACTGTGTTGTTGGCCCTAAGTTGAAAAAGCCAACTTTATTTATGAAAAGTCTTTTAATTATGAATATTTTGAGTTAATTTATTTGCATATCATTTGGTTAACTGGTCCGTAGCCAATAACTGTCTGTTAAGGAAATCTGCAAATAAGGGAGAAAGATGTCTCACTATGAGTTACTCTGAAACAAAATCTGCTGCTTCCTTTGTCTCCTAGTTAATTGTGGAGATTTTAGTGTCCAGAATGGAATCAATCCTTGCAGCTTACTTGAAATTAATGGATGTATGACTGTTTTTCACTTTGCAGTGCTAGTGCTTGGGAGACGGGACACTCAAATGATGTCTAAATGGCAGTAAAAGTGTATTATTTAGCATACTTGCAGTAAGAATACAGTAACAACTGTACCAGTTATCGTAATGGTTCTTGTTGGCCAACGGCAAGTAGTAGAAGCTTAGGCAAGAAAATGAAATATGGGGCATGCACAAAATGTTCCTTCCTTTTATGGAGCATCCCAGCTTTTGATTTTCTTCCTCCGTGTAAAATATTACTGCCCTTTACCTGCCAGCCTGGCTTCTGGATTTCTTAGTTTAGTTTCTTTTTTTTTGTTCTGTTGCTACACTGAACCTCTTGTCCAAACATAGCCTGTCTTTGGAGGTTATGACAGCTAAGCAGTATGTATTCTTCATTAGCAATTGATGGCTAGAAATGATACAGAAGTTTATAATCATGTCCTCCAAACTATTTGTTTTGATGTCATATTCTTTGAGGAATTCTTAGAAATTCTTCTTCTATTGTTGTTGCTTTTGGAGAAATAATTGTCTTAAGTAACTTACTACTTTCTTGTTAACAGAGAAGCTAATGAATTTCTGAAGAAGCTTGCTTCCCAAACAGGAGGGCGCTACCATTGCAGTTTAGGAGTTGTGGACGGACAATTAGCAGCACACAGAATGTTGACAGAGGGACTTGATGATGAAGATGTATGTTAAATAGATTGGGTTTGTTGGGTTTGGTTCTGTTTCATTTCAACTTAGTTCTTCATCAATCATCAAACTTCTCGTAAAAAAGAAAAATCATGAGAAAAATTAATACAAGACTCCTAAGATAGTTCACATTGAAACTGAAATGAGAAATCTTAATGTCTGGCTTTGCTTCTCTGCTAGCTACCTTGGTGAAGTGACCAAACCTATGAAAGAAATACACAATGCAATGTAGTTTTTGAAAGAGAAGCAAAAAAACTCTTGTACCTGGACACTGGATTTTAAGCTAACTTTAGCTTTTACTGTGCCTTCTTACCCTTACCCTTGTATTTTATTTATGTAATTGTAAAATGCTTATGCAGTGTTGAGCACATTGATGGTCCATCAGGAGACCTCAGGGACTGCCACAGCAGAAAAATATGTTGGCGAACAGAACCGTATTCAATCCAGAGTTGCTCTGCTCTCCCCTTGTAAGACCAGGACTTTCTCTGCAAGTAGATAGGAGTAGGGAGATTTAGAGCTAAGGCTCATTTAATTTAGTTGGTAGAAATTTAAAATAATAAATAGACGCAAATTAAAGTAGAATATTTTAATTCTGTTTTCAGGATCCAGTTTTCCCTTACTTTGAAGGAGATGATTTAAAGAAACTTACTCAAGAAGTAGCAAAAGCTAGAAGTTTCTTAAAGCAGGCAAAATCTTTGAGGTGAGTATCTAGAATCTTTCAATAATTGTTTTTTTTGTTTTATGAAAGGAAGTCAAGAATATCTGTCTTCCAGTGTCTGCTGTTTAAAAAAGAATTGCTGTTTCTTTCCTTGTCCTGTCAATTTTAGTGGTTTTTTGAGGCGTGGAAAATGACATGCAAGCAAGCTGTCTGCTTCAGAGGGATTTAGTTTTAAGGTCTTACCCAATTCACTACCATCGTAGTAAAGGATCCAAGCAGATTCTAACAATGTGTTAAACTTCAGGGCTGTTGTTTGCTCTCAGTTGTCACTCCAGTTCTTATGTCAAAGAGAAATTACATTAAGTTTGTTTCTCTCCTTGCTGAGTTCTGTCATCTGTCAAATCAATGTATTTCTCTTTATATGTGTTATTAAAAGAGAAAATTGACTGTTGTTAACGTGATGCAATGTTCTTTTTAGTACCTTTAGTATGACTTCTTACTCAGAAATGTAAATTGCTTTTATTTTCCAAAAATCTATATGGCTCCTTCTATCCTACCTCCTCCTGACTTCTCTAGCTGCGTTGCCATCCATTCTCTGTCTGCTAGAATTGTCCTCTGCATGGAATTAAGTGAGATGTTTCATGTGTTCTCAAACAATCCTGTCTCAACCCATTTACTTCTCCTTCTAACCTACCTCCTCCTGACTTCTCTAGCTCCGTTGCCATCCATTCTCTGCTAGAATTGTGTCCTCTGCATGGAATTAAGTGAGATGTTTCATGTGTTCTCAAACAATCCTGTCTCAACCCATTTACTTCTCAAGGTACCATCAATCTCCCTTTCTTTTTGCCTCTAAAGCCCTGTAAAGTTTCTATTAGCCTTTTTCTGGGACGATTCCCTAAGCCTTCCCCTTCACTCCTCTTACATTTCCTGATTTACTGAAGGATCTGATAAAATCATTCTTCTCTCAAAGATCTCTTCTCTCAATCTCAGTCTTTTTCTGCTTTCCTAAATAATTTGACTCCCATCAGAATTTGTCCTGTGTTTTCCTTTCTTTACTGTAATTTTCAGCTTTCTTCTCTCTCCATAGAATAAGAACGTTCTCCCAGTATGCTTCAGGTTTGTCTCCCTTTCTTTTCTCTTCCTCATCTTCTCTTCAGCATCCTCCCTCAGCATGAAGTTTCTTTTTCCCTTTTCCGTTAACAGTTCTGTAACAGATAACAGTACAATGTGACCCCAGACAGAGGTATCCCAGTGGACTCCCAAACGAGCCAAGTCATTTCCTGGAAGCGACATGGCCCTGTTGGCACTGCATGCCATCTGTATCTCCATAGACTGAGTTGGCTCAGGTGGCACGCCCTTCATTCCCTGCTGCTTCTGGTATCGTGTAGAGCTAGCTTTGATACCTGCCTAGAACTGGAGTGAAGGAGAGTTAAATTGTATTGATCCTTATGTTTTTTCATTGTCACGCTTCCTAACTGCCAATCCAGAACCAGAAAGTGCCATTTCAATAGTAATAGCAGGCAAAAGTACTTGCAAAGAGCTTTAAAATGCATTATACCGCCTCGATGAAAAGATTTTCTGTCACGCAAGGACATGGCTAACAAAGATGCAGAGGTACTGTATGTCTCTCTGGAAAGCTGCTGTAAATCTTTGGGTTTTGTTTTTCTTTCAAACAGGTTATTACTTCAAAAATGGAATATAAACCAAAAGGACAATTCTGGCCTTTAAAAAAGTGCTCAGGTAAACAGTCACCACAAATAGATCACAGTTTATATATAGTTCATATATTTCAGTACAAGGATAATGTTTCATAAGCTTAATGTAAAATTTCCAGCAGTGACTCTTTCCAAAGTTGAAAACATTTTTAATTATTTTAGTTCTTAGCTCTAAGATACACAAAGAACAATTCAGAGAGAACTTGGGGGTGAAAGGAGCAAGGCAGATGTGTATTTGTAGTTATTAATGGTTTAGCTCTTTCTAAGGGCAAACAGCTAAGCACATCAGAGGGTTAGGACCAGAGGTAATGGCTGTGATAACAGTTGCTACATGGGCTGCATGATTTATCAGTTAAACGAGCAAGGCTGACTGAAAAAAGACCTCACTAATAGTCAAGACAGCCTCAGCAAACACTGGACTATTGTTACAAAGTTGTGGGAGAGGCAGCTGGACAAACTAAACCTCTCACAGAGCCAACCTACTGCTTTTAAAATGGCAAAGTACAGATTATAGGAACAGAGAAAATGCTGTGTAGAAGTACTTTCTCAGGGTTGAACAAGACAGAAGCATTTGTCATGGAGCTGTTTAAGGGGGAAAAACGTGGACCTGCACACAACTACAGAGAGTTGCACTAGAGAATTTAGGCCTGCCAAGATACTCATCAAGGAATTGGGTATGGCAGATATATAGTGAGACTGTTTTTTAAATCCTTATTTCTATGGCTGTAGTTTGCATTTTGGTTTACAAACATTGCCGAGTCATTCAAAGAGAAGAAGAAAAAAAAATCCAGTCAGACCCACAGGATAAGAATGCTTGCTCCATGGAGCAGGGAACCTGGAGCCTGGTCAAGTATGTGCAGAATTCAGCCTGTAAGGGCAGATCACTAGAGAGAGATGCTTGGAGAGGAAACAGATACATAAGCATCCTGTAGTAGCAAGAAAGTTGTTACAGGCATGTAGAGACAGAGGCTAAGGTTTCCCCAACAACTCGCCTGGTCAAGTATGTGCAGAATTCAGCCTGTGTAAGGGCGGATCACTAGAGAGATGCTTGGAGAGGAAACAGATACATAAGCATCCTGTAGTAGCAAGAAAGTTGTTACAGGCATGTAGAGACAGAGGCTAGTGTTCCACAACCACGTCTCTCTTTTAACCTTCCAAGGTAAACGATATTGCTTGTAAAGTGTACAGGAAGACATTCCTCTTAATGTACTTCAGGTAATACATAGTATTGTAGTGTGATTAAACATGTAAGTAAGGCAAATTGGAAGGTAATCAATTTATATTGTTCTTCCATTACCATTTTGTCAAGGGTGATGGTGAGCCTATGCAGTTTATATAGTTTGAATTGTATTTAAAAAACTATTCATGTGCTTGACTTGTCAGATTAACTTTTAGATGAAGAAAAGATGCTGAAGAGGTTTGGAGTGGTGCCACTAGCCTGCTTCTTTTCAGAGTGTGCCTAAAGCTTCCAGCTTCAAGCAGAAAGAGGGAAGATGTGTTCTTTGTTGTCTCTCAGCCTCTGGCAAGAGAAGAAGTTACAGATGATAAATGCTGTTGACCTACTCCACTGGCAGACTTTGCAGGACTCAAAGTAAATCAAGCCCTGAACTCTCCAAAGTTTAAACATAAGTAGAGGATATTTTTCAATATAGCTAATGCAAATTTTAAAAGTGTATGTATTTCCAATGTAATTAGTAGTTACACAGGGTCACAACTTTTGTTTCTCTTCTATTCTACTGCATCATACTAATAATTGCTTCAGTCAGTTGGTGGTATGTCCAAGATGTCTTTTTTGGCAGTTGGTATGATAGTTCTTTGCTGGTGCTCATTATCCCTGACAGATGGGACAGATGGCTGTGATACTAGAAAGAGAATTCTTTATGCCAGTTTTGCCTAGGAAGTCCAAGAGATAACCTTAGTGCAGAAAACAAAGCTTGGAGGGAGTGTTTTTGCCAAAAGAAGTTTACTAATGATTATTTCGACTCTTTGCTTTTTGTATTGGCAGTAGAGAAAGATCTAGAGGTGATGATTCAGAAGTCATCAGACATGCGAACAAGTAATATCTTGTTGCTGATAAAGCCTGGTTACATTTGTATAACCAGACACTGCCAATCTTCTAAGCAGTTCTGTTAAGTTCTTACATGTTTCCTGTCCTAGAAAGATTAAAAATATGTTTGCCAGTACCATATAAAAATATCCAGTTTAAGCTAACTGCAGTAATGAGGCATATATTTTTCCAGTTGATTTATGAAATACACTTTTTTTAAACTGAGAAACTCTGCAATAACAGCTCATTGGCATTTTGTAGGTATTTACTGTTGTCTTTCCAAGGGTTAGAAATATGTACCAGGTGTTTATGTAATATTTAATAAAAATGGATTCCGACTGCAAAATTCACATACTTGGCCTGAGTTTATTCAGGAGCCATTTACATCTCCTGAGTGCCAGCTGATGGGAATGACTGAATATACTTGGATGTGGGAGATACTATCTTTTCTGTCCCTCCATCTGTTTTGTCTCCATAAAGAATTAAAAATTATTTCTATCATTAAAATCTCTTTCTAGTGTTGTATGCTCTGCACCAGCTGACTCCTGCATTCTACGTTAGTACCAGCCTACTGTGGAATACTGCAGTTAAAATGGTGTGTTGTGCTACGCATCACTTTCTGTGATTTTTAGTAGTGTATGTGTTGGTATGCGTGTAACTGCTGAGATGCTTTGCTATGAAAATATTAATTGTAATTTAATAGGATTAGTTACATTTCTATTTGGGGTATATAAATATTAGATGATGACTGATAAAATGAGTAGATTTGTACTAATAGAAATGTTAAAACAGTAAATCCAGGTGGAAAGGATGAGGCTTCTGAATTTTCAGAGAGAGATTATTATTTATTCCTCAGAGGATTTAAGAAGTGTCACAATACTGTGGCATAGATTCTGATATTCTTAGAAGGGTCCTTTAGAAGAACCTTGAAAGGAAATATACTTGTGCAGGTATGTTAAATGATATCAGAGACTTTTTGTGAAATAAGATCACAATGCACATGTCTGATTTTGCAAATGTGAATAAGCACCAGAGTATTTCAGTGCGTTGTGTTAGATTGCAATCTGTCACATCTCTCACAGCTGGTTTTTTCCCTCTGTACTATTTGGTGTTCAGCCATTTTACTCATTCAAAACAATTCGGTTTACACAGTGTCTATAGACTGATCATCAATGGCTCTATGTGATCCTAAGTTCATGGTAACCTACACTAATACTCATCACTCAGCTGTTTGTTCTGGTTTCGACTGGTCACTTGTCTGTGGGCAGAGCATAGCAAGTTTCTCTGGTTCTCTTGAGCATACTCCCAGCTGTAAAGTAGGTGTTAGGAATTCAGGAGTCTTCTCTTTGCTAGTGGTGTGAGCTAAGGGGTTTTAAGTCTCCTGTTAAGAAAAATGCAACTGATAAGGAACAAATGTTGATGTTAGAATTTGTGTAACCACAGAAGCTATAAACTAGTTTGGTGTTATAGTATTTAGCCATTGCGTCCTGTCCAATTTCACTTCTTTTGTAAGTGTTTTCAGGCTGTGCAGCCTCTGTTGGTCGGTCCTTGTTCTCTTGTGGTTTGGCCAGTCCTGCTATCTACTCAGAGCAGCTCCCTCCTTTAGAATATAGTTTCTCTCTGCTGCCTATTACCTACCTGGAAACTCTCATCCTACCTGCTCCCATCAATCTGAGGGCTACTTAGTCAGGAAAGCATTTTAAGGAGATGGTTCAGCTGTGATGACTTGATTAATTGAGTGCTCTGTTAATGACTTTTCAATGTTGGTCTGTCATGTATATGTCATTTGCTTTCCTGGTTTACGCTTCCTGGAATGCAATTCACTGTATTCAAGTCATAATAAAAGAGGAGTTTTATAATTGACAAAGATGTATATTTTTCTGCCAGCTTGTTTGTAAGTCATGTCATTGCTGTGACTCACTGAATATGTTGATTTACATGCAAGGAATTAAGGGCAAATGACTGAACCGGTTGCTACCTTGAAGTCTGTGTTCTACCCCCTATCAGAAGAGTGCTGTTTTCTGAGCAGGAGTGGGTAACTTCCACGTGGAACAGCCCATGTGCAGGAAGTTCATGCTGCTTCTAAGGAAGGTGATGGCAATAAAGGTGTTTTATGCTGTGTCCTTTAGAATTCTGTTCAGTAAGAATTTCTCTGTGCTTTATAAGCATGTTATCTACTGTTCGTGTGTATCTAGATTTGTAACTACAAAGTTCCAAGACTTTACACACCCAAATGTGTTAATACAACTAAGTCACGAGAATTTTCATTGAATCATTTTAATGCATCTCAACCAGTTAGATGCATATAGGATACTTTTCATTCCATTGAACTTCAGTCTGCTGTGAAACCATCTCAAACAGGTGCTTATTAGATGTTTGCTTTCTGAATAGTTTAAAAAAGGGGGGGGGGGGGAAGGAGAGAAAGGAGGGAAAAATCCAATTCCAGAAACCTGCCAGCATCAGAAAACACCCTGTTACTTCCCTGTCTCTGTTACAATAAAGAGAATCTAGGGCTTAGCTAACTATATTGAATGCAGTGGTGGAACTACCATATGAGGAGATAGATAATCTCTGACTCGTACCATGTGAGACTTCATCAGTTAGAAACTTAAATTCTACCCAGAATTTGATAGGTAGATTAGGCTGACTTTGTAAGCCACAAGTTTACATGCTTTCAGTGATAGAGGATGCCTCTGACATCCTGGCCACATTTAATGTGGCACCAAGGCTCAGTCTTAATAGAGAAATAACTAGCATGTAACAAACTCAATCTCTTTTAGAGGGTTTTTCCTTTTTCTTTTCCTACTTGGAAAGTTCTACAGCTTCTGTTATAATTTCTGGGTTGATAACAACAACAGAGGTGAATAGAACTTTGTAAATGAAACTTGGTAGAAGTTATGACAAGATTTTACATGGCATCTGATGGCATAGTGCAAAACAGATTCTCTTTTTCATCTTAAACCACC